AACTCTGGTTTTTATTTCCTGATCCACTGCTTTTTCCACTGTTCCTCAAAAATTACTGTAGATGTGACTGGGTCAGTTTCAGATTCTGTTGCTCTATTTCACAGTCATTGGAAGTCTGTAATAATAAGCATATCAATCTGTAATTTATTTTTTCCTGCTCCATTTTGGTAAAATGATCAAAACAACATCTTGTCTAGATACTTAAACCACTGCCTTTAAGTTTCCTTGAGCACATAAGATTAGTTCAAACTGCATTTGCACTAAAAGCGGGCCTTTGCACCCAGACAGTTTTTCACTCTGACAGTATGTCACCCTCATATCTTTGAATGGATTGTTGAGAGTCCCTCGAGTCCATTTCTGGGTCTTCATCGGTGAGGCTGCCAGAAAAGCTCTGCGTAGCTTAACCTAAATGACCTCTTAACAGTGCGCTGTGTGCCAACCCTGCACTAGGTGATGGGGGAGGAAGAACAACATGCAGCTCGGTTGAGGAATTTCCGGGGTGGTAAGCCAGTAGGTCTCCACGTGGGAAGCAACGAACAGAGCAGAGAAGGCTGTCATTTGCTAAGCACCTGTTAGGTGTCAGACAACATACAAACTCTATAAAGCAGGTACTACCCCGCATTCATCAGGTGAGCAAACTGAGGGGCAACAGTTTGCCAAAATCACACAGCTAGTACGTAGGTTGAGGTAGAATTTGAACCCAGGCCCCTCTGGCTCAACATAAAGAGAATAATGTGAGACAACTTTTCAAGAGCCTGATTGCGTGAGGCAGATGGGAAGTAGAGAAGTTTCAGCGGGATGCATGAGGTCAAGATGGGGCCTCCGGGTGTATGAGTGTGTCAGGAAGCTGACAGCCTGTGGCAGGTGCTCCCATTCCAGATCCCTTTATAACCTGCTGGTCACAACCACCTGTTCCCACTGGAAGGGTCAGGCTCTGTCTGTCTCCTTTTGGATGTGCTCAGGAGGTCAGGAGAGGAAGCTGGCTCACATTTCCACATTCAACTCAAACTGCCCCCTCCCAGGCTTGCTGACCTGTTACTCTTCCAAGTGCTTGAGCTCCCAGGGTATTTTCTCCACGTTTCTCAACCTTAGAGGAGCTCCCCTGCATTGTGTGGTGGCTGCTGCCTCTCCTTTCAGAACCCCAAGAACCCAGACCTTCCCTCCCTTCTTCCTGCCCATAGACTTCTAGTCACGTCGAAGGCGTAAAAGGAGTTTAACGTGTTTCTGTTACTTTTGCATGGCAGGGAGAAGAGCTGGCTTAGTGAGATATAGAATCTTCCCAGTCTGCTCAAAGGATCAAGTAGCTCCATCTGACATGTCAGTTCTGCAGCTTAAAATAAAGAAAAGGGCAAAGCATTCTCTGATTTTTTTCTCCCCAGTAAAGAAATTAAAATGGAAAAGTTCAAGAGTCAAGGAGTCAAGAGTCAAGGGGTGGGAAGGTAAAGGTGAGGCCCTCTCAAAAGAAAAAAATTGGATGAGTAGAGAGTTTTGCAGGGGACTTAAATGCAGGATTGTGTTTAAGGTGTGTGTGTGTGTTTGTTTTGTTTTGTTTTGTTTTAACTTTTTAGTTTTAAATAATTATAGGTTCACAAGAAGTTGCCCTTTACCCAGTCTTCCCCAATGATGACATTGTACATGATTATGGTACATATAAGGCCAGAGAATAGACATGCACAATGTGTGTGTCTAGTTCTTTGCCATTTTATGACATACATAGATCCATGGAACTGCCACCTAAATCAAAATTCAAATTACTCCATCACCACAGAGCTCTCCCTGGTGTACTCCTTTATAGTCACACCCCTCACACACCCCTCCACCATCCCTAAGTTCTGGTAATCATTAATTTGTTCTCCATTTTTATAATTATGTACTTTAAAAAGTACGGTTTCTGGGCCCTCCCTGGTGGCACAACGGGTAAGGACGCAGCACTGCAAGCCAGCCGCAACCACTTCAATGTGAGTTTGATCCCCAGCCCCGGAGGTGGCTCACGTGGCACAGCAGACCTCTCCTGACCCGCCCACTGCTCCCCTCAGCATTGTACTTAGTCGATCAGCCTGTTCTGCTCCCCAATCAGTCTCTGGTGAATCCTCCACCACCCCTGCACCTCTGGCTTGTATCCCAGTTCTGTATGCATAAATATATAAATCTTTTTTTAAAAAAAAAAAAGTAGTTTTGTTTTTTTTTTTAAGAAAATAGATTGGCACTTCTAGCTTTCACAGAGCTGCAGGCTCAAAGGAATGACTTTCCTGACATTTCAAGCCTGGATTCCCTCTAGAACATCTCTCTCTAGTGTTCATCTAGTCCCTGAAGCACTTGAAGCAGAACTTTCTTCAGGATTTTGGAAGTATTGAAGTATTTGATATAAATATTTATAGTAAAGACAGTTTCTATATCTCATTCAACAATTAGCAAAACTCTTTCTTTTAGATTAAATATTACAAAATGCCCTCTCGTGGTGATTTTCCCATCTCGTACTGTTCTGTCCCAAACACACATCTACATTTCCTCATGAGAGGGATGAGATCTAGGAATCCTGGAACACTCACAGAAAATTCCAGAAATCCCTTAACCATGGATTAGTGTGTTGACACCTGTGGGAATGGCTATAATCTGAAAAACAAGAAACAAGTGCTGGAGAGGTGCGGAGGGAAGGGAACCCTGTACCCTGTCGGTGGGAATGCAACCATTATGGAGCGCAGTATGGCGACTCTTCAAAAAATTAAGAATAGAACTCCTATATGATCCACTAATCCCACTTCTGGTATTTGCCAGAAAAATGCAAAACATAAACTCAAATATATATGTGCACACTCATGTTTATTGCAGACCTATTTACAAGTGTCAAGAACTAGATGAAACCTAAGTGCCCATCAACAGGGGAATGGATAAATAAAATGTGATGTACATATACATCATAGCTTATAAATAAAATGTGATGTATATATACATCATAGCAACCAAAAAAAAAAGAGATGAAATACTGCCATTTGGAACAACATGGATGGACTTAGAGGGTATTATGTTTAGTGAAATCATCCATGTAGAGAAAGACAAACACCGTGTGATTTTATCCCTATGTGGTATGTAGAGAAAAACGAGTTAAAAACAAACACTATATGAGACCAATTAGTGGTTATCAGAAGGGAAGTGGGAGTGGGTGAATCGAGAAAAAGGAGTCCTGGTGTGGTAAATAATGAGTTGATGTTTAGTGGTGAACTTTATATGTGTGTGTGTGTGTGTGTGTTTATACACATATACACACACACACATATATATATATTTATACACACACATAATCTCAGTGTCGCACTCCTGAAAATTATATAATGTTATAATGCAATGGTACTTCAATTAAAAAGAAGTTGCTGGCTTCCAGTAAATTGGGACCTCTCAAATGTTAGTTAAGTGTCGACTTTATTTCCTAGGCTGATTGTATGTTATCTATATGATATCTACCAGGGTCATTCTGTGAGGAAACCCCATCTAAAATCTAGTTCTCCTGGAGCAAACTCCCAGGATGAGAGAACTTTAAAGGGGGCCTCTAAGCCCCCATAGCATCAAAAAATAACAACTCACTCATGCCAAATCCAGAAAAAGGCCAGAATTAGGTCACTGGGGGTCCATGGCTAGGATTAATTTGGATGCCTACTCCCTTCCCCCCAGACTGTTTCTGAGATATTTCCACTTTACATGGACTTAACTCACTTTTCACAAATCCAGACTCAGACCCATTAGGATGTGATTGGTAGAAGAAATAACTTAAACTAACGGTTGCATCCATAGCCATGTCCCAGGGCAAAGATTTGGAAACGAGGGTGTATGGGGAGCATCTGACTTTGGACCAGGAGAGACTGCAGTCCAGTGAATACTCCCTTCCTTCTTGAAGTGGGGGTAACATGCCCCAGCTCCCTGTTTTCTGAAAAAGGGTCCCTACCTTCCAGAACATTCCTCACTTTCTCTTGGGTAAGTGGAGAGAACACGGGGCCAGCTCCCGGTCAGAATGCTGTCCTGGGCTGCTCTCTGGGAGGCTTTTTTTGTGGAAGGCAGGGAACTTTTACTCCAGCCTCAATTTCCTCATCTGCAAAAGAGGGATAGTAAGTATCCTCCTAATTGCACAAAGGCAGTTGTCTACGTAAACATATTGATTAGAAAGATGTTGCTGAATATTCCAGAGGGAAAACACAGTGATTAAACCAATACAGTATTAAAGATAATTTTAGGTGGCCATGTTGGGGGTGAGGGGTGGAAGTAATATAAAATTAAAAGTTTAAAGCTGTTCCCGAATGTTTACAGAAACATGCTTTAAATAACTTAAAATCATACCTATTCTATCTTAGGCCTATTCTGACTCTATTTTGAGTATTATTCATTTTAATTTTTAGCACAAGGACAAGGTTGACCATAAAATATTGCGAAATCTGTTAGAATGTAGGATTTTTTTTTAAAGAAATGTGGGATAAAGTGATCCAAAATGTTATTTACAAGACACTAAAAAATTGATTTCATGCCTAAAGACAGTTAGTTCTGTTGAGCCAGCAGCTGTACTATTTCACAACAGCAAGTTGGATCCAGGTCATGTGGTTGTAAAGTCCAAAGTCAATCATAACCCCCTTGGCTGCAGCGGACCACTTTGGTGCCTCTTCACCTGGTTTTGTGAGTGTGTGTGTGTGTTGTGTGTGTGTGTGTGTGTGTGTGTGTGTGTGTGTGTACAGACTGCCCTGAAGTGGATCCCTGGGGCTTTGACCTGAGAAATTCATCAAGTTCCTGCTAGAGGCTAATTAATCATCACATCAGCTTGCTGCAAACCAACTAGCCATGCTGATCATTACTGCAGGTCCCCAGAGTCAGTCAGGGCAGCAGAAAGAGAAGGAAATGGCCTCATCTCCTCCCAGGATTACAGGAGGAAAGTTCCTGGCATCTAATGAGTTCCTGCTAAACTGGAGGTGTGCTCTAGGAATTAGGCTCTTTCCACCTTTTCCTCTTATATTCCCTTCAAGATGCTACCCAGAAGACAGTGATTGCTGAGGCGCCCAGCAGTGTTCTCTGCCACCTGAGGAGTTTCCGGGTAAGAGATTCATGCTCCCACAGAGCTAAGACCGCCCCGCTGGTGGACAGTGAAATTGTAGCTGAGTACCTAGCTTTCCTTTCGCCATGATGTCAAACTGTTCTGGCTGATTTGTTTTGAGAGAGCTTGTGCTTTGCAGTTTGCTTCATATTTAGGTTAATGGTCACTGTCAAGAGGAAGTCACTTTGATCATTGCTCTAGTTCGGGGGTTGTTTTTCTTTTTATCCTGGCCACTCTGAAGCAGTGCCTGGTCTACACAATACCATAATAACTGGTGGAATAGGGAACAGGCCTGAAATCAGCAGTGATTACAGAGAGCGAATCATTTCTTGTTGTTGTGGAGATGACTGGTTATTTTTGTGTTGTGTAAACACTTACCATCTCCATTTCTTTTTGACCGCGTTGCCCCAAAGTGAACTCTACCTGGGAGAGAGCAGACTCTGAGTGGTAAAAAATCATAGATTCTGAAGGCAAGCCAATCTGTTTCTTAGCTGTGAGAGACTGGAAAGGCCAAATCATCTCTCTGAGCTTCAACTACCTCTTCTGTAGAGTGGGCATGATAATATCTGCCCAGTGTTGTCACTGAATGGTTACAAGGCTATTTCAAGTGTCTACCCAGGGTGTGGCAGTCAGTGTGTCTTAACTTTTAATCACGTGCAGATCACGTGGGGGAACTTGTAAGCAGCCAACCCTGATTCATTAGGGGTGGGGTAAGCTGGAAGATTCTTCATTGCCAATAAATGCCCAAGTGATGCCCGTGTGGCTGATGCACACCACACTTGGAGTAGCAAAGTTCTAGGTATCACTTGCAAAGTGTCTATTACAACTGGTGCTTTCTCCATGGTCAACCCAGAACAATTCAATTATGCATTTTAAAAGCTCCCCTTTTTCGCAAAAGCCATACCATCTACCAATAGCTATGTTCCTTTTACAAAATGTATATCCTTGATATTGGCCATAGTTGATCATTTCTGAAGGTTTATTATACTATACGCTCTACATTTGTACATTTAACACTTGCTTCTTTTTTTTTTTTTTTTAAAGATAAAAAGGAAAACCTTGACAGGATTTTTAGGGCAGTGAAATGACTCGCTACAGAGTATAATGGGGGGTGGGCTCACTAATGGCACAAAGGGTTAAGTAAAGCTGTCAGCAGCCACTGCAGCATGAGTTCGATCCCCAGCCAGAGAGTGACCCAGAGGGCACAGAAGACCTCTCCTGTCTCCCCGCTGCTCCCCTCCGCAGGGTGTTTCAGTAAATTGGTCTCTTCTGCTCCTCACTGTCTCTGGTGAATCCTCTCACCCCCTACCCCCACCCCACACCTCTGGCCTATAGCCCAGCTGCTATATGCAGAAATAAACAAATTAAACCTAAAAAAAATAAAATCTATAAACACTTAAAAAATACATGCTATAATGATCACTATATACAGTTGTCCGAACACACAGAGTACACAACACCAAAAGTGAACCCAAATGTAAAGTATGGACTCTGGGTGATAACGTGGTATCAGTGCAGGTTCAACTGTAACAAATGTGCCACATGGGATGTGCAGAGAAGAGGTGTTGGGGGAATATGGGAACTCTCTGTACTTTCTGCTCAATTTTACTGTCAACTCAAAACGGCTCTAAATAATGAAGTCTATTTTTAAAAACTCAAACAAACAGAAAACACCTGTTTCCCAACAGTCGAGGACAGCAGAAACTACAGGTTAACTAATACAGTGATTATTTCGAAAACATGTTCATTAGGAGAGTGACGGCTTTTCTTTCGATTCTCCAAACAAATCCATTCCTACCTAGCCTTGCCTCCAGTGATTTATGATGGTGCAAAAGGCACATACTGTGGGATTTCATCTGTGTTTTTCTATAACGGACTCGCGTGCGTGCTCACATTCTGCCAACCACCCTAGAGTTCAGCACGTTCCCCTCGCCTTAACACAAACAGTTCACACTTGCTTTTGTTGGATGAATTTTACATTTTTTTCTCTCCACCTTGGTGGACTAAAATCTGTCTACATCTTCATGAAAACATCTCATGTATTCTTTAAAAAAAATTTTGTTATTAAAGTAATATTGATTTATAACATTATAAAAGTTTCAGGTATACAGCCTTATAAATCAACATCTGTATATATTACATTATGATCACCAAGAAGCTGTGTCTGTGCATCAACATACAATTAATCCCTTTAACCTGATTTACCCAAACCCCACCCTGACCCCTGCCCTCCCCTGTAACCACCGAGAGTCTAAGAATGTGTTTTTGTTTTGTTTTTTTCTTCCATATATAAGTGAAATCATACCATTTTGTCTTTTCAGTTTATTGTCTTTTCAAGCCTTTTCCCAACTCTCTGAGCTGCCCAGCCTCTGTGTTCATTAAGTCAGTGATTCACAGAGGACTCGCCCAGGTAATTAGAAAATGTGTTCAGTGAGATGGACATTCCCCATCATCATCTTCCTCGATGGGCCCAAGTTTTATAGGTACTGAACTGACATAGCCCAGGGTAGGGGTCACTTTAATTTGTATGATGAAGTAACAGGGGCAGATCAAAGAGAAACTAAATGAACAAAATAAACAGCCACTGGAGCATACTCTGTTCGCATTTTTTTGTTCTCTAGGTCATATAAAGCCTCTCCAAATCAGTGTCTTAGATTCTTCTTTTTCCTGCCTGTGGCTTACTTCAAGGGTCAACTCTTTATTTAATCCTGGAGTGCTGTTCCCTCTGGTATGTTGTTTACCACCTCCAGATGATAGGTGTCGCAGCTATTTTCCTAATGAGAGGATCACCCACTTGACATCCTGTTGCTGGGCGAATGCTGCTAGGCCCAAGGGGGGCCTCCATTTCAATCTTCTACTGCAGCTACGAGATCTGTCCTCTCCCCGCCCAAAACAAATTTCCTTTAGGTCTACTTTAAAGTGTTTCTTTTAGGCATGTTCTCTCAAAATGTCAGTTCTTTAGCTGCTACTAGAAGCCTTCCATCTTCTCTTTCCATGTTCACGTGGAAGCCCTGTTGTTGTCTCATGGGCTGCTATCATCTTTCCACTACATTGTTCAGTGAATGAAAATGTCTAAGGAGACGCTCTTTTCCAGAATGCCTTCCAGAAAACTGAAACTTCACATGCTGACTTTTCCAACTCTTATGAAATGAACTCGTGTGGCACAACTGTGCAGGCCTGACGATTTCGAGGTGGCAGAAACACCTGCGGTGACAGATAATTACAACTGTCACCGTGCTCCTTGCCAAGCGTTTCCTGTTCACTGGCTGCTTTCGGGATGATTCAGATTTGTCTGGAGGGTGACAGCTCCTTCTTTACCGCGTCCCTGATTCAACTTTGTCATACCTGTGCCCTTGCTGTAAGCTTGCTTCTTCCTCATTAGTCTCTGCTCAGCCGCTTTATTCATGGCAAGAACATTTTTTCCTTCATGGTGCACAGGAAATAATGGCACATGCATCACGGTCTCAAATATCTCCCTGACAATTGTTGTGAAACAGCTCTCTTCGCCTCTGACACTCTGTGGGCCTTTGTGAACTCAACCCTCTCTGTATATTTATTAATCAAGCCCACCCTTCAAGAGCCAGCCCAGGTCCCCCGTCCCCAACTACTTACAATGCTGCCACCCAGCTGCTAAGGCATTTGTGGAGGGGCCACAAAAATGGAATTGGATCGATCACATGCTGTCAGAAGTGCATTTTTCATTGCTACCCTTCCCTGAACCAACACACACCCCAGTCCAGGCAGGGCCGACACACTGATAGCTTGTCAGGCACCTTGTTCTTGTTGATTACAGCCTGTCAAAAGGTGACTGGTTTTGAATTAAAGAGGAGGATTCAAGTGACATGAATTAAGTAATCTTCTAGGAATAATGCAACTTTTTTTTTTAATGATTCTGGGAATCTACTGTAGAAACTCATTTCTTTTTTTTGGGGGGGGATCCTTTACAAAGCTGATAAATTACACCCTGCGAAGAGGAAAATAACAGTCAAGGAGAGACATTGGTTATGAACTTAGCCTGTGATTTGAAATACGGCTACTGGGCCATCAAAAATAGACAGCTCCCAAGAAGATAAAAGATTTCATTCTTCCAGACTGTTGTCTAGCACCCTTATGGTTTCATTTGTTTTAAATCTGTGATACTTTTGGAGTTGATCCTGACAGATGCTGCAATCCAACTTAATGTTTTTCCAGATGACTATCCAGTTGTTTTCATGCCACTTATGGACCAGTGTACGTTTTCCCTCCACTGATCTGCCCTGACACCTTAAGTACACCGAATTCCTGGCTAGATGCAAGGTCTACTTCTGTATGTCTAATTCTTTTCCACCATCTATTCATGTGCAGACGCCACACAGTGGAATTAGTGGGCTTGTTTAAATTACTGGAAAAGACTTTCCCCTTCCTCTTGTTTAAGTTTCCTGGCTATGCCTCATTCTCTAGAATCTAAAATCAATTTATCCCAAAACTTCTTGGTATTTGTATTGGAATCATGTTGAGTTTATATAATTTTGGAAGAAGCAAAAGCTATGTCAGGACTATAGTTCCAAAACTATCCCAGATCTTTCCAATTATTTAAGTCTGGCCTGCATTTCCAAGAGTGTTGTGGTCTCCCTTATTAAAAGGCTTTGAAATATTTAGAACTTTTAAAACTAGGACTTATTAAATTTTTGCTGTTATCAATGAATTATACCCTTCATTATTATCTTCTAACTGGTATTTGTATAACTCTGATTTCTAAGCTACAGGTGGGGTAGAGTAAGGTTTTCTATTTCAAAATCCAGAACCACGAGAGACTTGTAAATTCAGTTACCCCAGAGTACATTTTACGGGGTAAAAATGCCATAAGCAAAGTCAAAACAAAAATGATAAACTGTAAGGAAATACTTGCAATTTATCACAAATGCTCCTGCAAGCCAATAAAGAAATGAAACACCCACCCACAAGAAAGCAGAAAGTGGGGACAAAGACTATGAATAACATAGCTCTGTGAAAAGATGGTCAACCTCACTAAGAAATTACCAATCAGATTGGCAGAACACGTAGCTGATGAGACTGGGAAAACAGGTACTCTTGTGCATTGCTGGTAGAGCTGGTTAGGAGGCACTGGTAAAAATGAGTTATGAGCTACAAGCCATGCAAAAGCTATGATGCAGCATAATCATTGATGTAGAAAATGCTCTAGAACATAGTCTTAAGTGGAAAAAAAGCTAGGTATAATATTAGCATAGTATATAGAACATTACTGCTTCCACAAAACAGCATAAAACATGTTTGGATGAAGAAACAGTGGAAACATATTTAAACTAATAAAAGTGGTCACTTGTAAGGGGCTGAGCAGAGAGGGACACTCAGGAGTGATTTTTCACTGTATAACTTTTATAGTTTTGGTCTTTAGAAGCATGTGACTGTTACTTATGCAAAAAAAAATTAAAAAAACAAATTAACTCCCTTGATAAATTAAATTCAAGACCTTTTAGCTCACATAATTCCCTGACTTTTCCCATTTAACAGGAATAAGACTTAAAAATAGGAGCTTTAGGAAACAGACTAAAACTTTGAGTTCCTCAGAGGTAACCAAAATAAAATGTGTAAATAATGTGAAACTCAGCTCTCCATTTTATTTTATTTTTTTTGTTACGTCTGTTCTTTACAATGTGTCCTCACACACACGTGCATGCACTTACATGTGCACACTCATACACACAAGACTTTGAGATGGGTAAACAAAGATAACCTCCAAACAGAAGCTGTTTCTACAAGTTCAAAACGGATCACAGGTATGTGCTTTTCAGTCATTACACCATGTACAGACACAATCCACTTGATGATTTATGCTCCCAAATGGTTAAACAACAAAGATTTTCTGGGAAAGGGTTTACATAAAAGCTTTTAGTTGAGAAGCAAAGTACCGTTTCCTGCAGAAAACAACCTCAGGCATACATTTTATAGTGACGTATATTCTTTGAGAATACAACAGTAGCAGTGCATTAAATTCTTTCTGTAAAAAAGAGCTGGAAGATGATTTTTCAAGAGACTCTTAATACATTGTGCTCTCAGATATAAATTCTAAACCAAAGATCAATTATAACGACAATATATGTTAGAGATCAAAAGAGGCTATAAAGAAATGTAAATAGTTGTGCTTTGGGGACTTTTTTTGGTTCAGTTGTTTTAATAATAAATAGAAACTTAAAAAATGTCTCAGTGTCTCATAGAAAATAGACACAGATACCACTGATTTTCTATACTTGGCTTCGAGTATAACGGTGAACAGTCATCTCCACATAAGCCACCCAGCATCTGATCGTCCCAATCTGGGCTGGTTGCTTACAGTCAGGCAAGGGGCTGGGGAGAAACAATGAACTGATTTTCCTCTTATTAACATAAAATATTGTCTAGAAGTAAAGTCAGGGTGAACCTAGGTCTCCCTTGCTTTAGAATTTCTGGACCAATAGAGAGGTCAACCTTCTTTTATTAGCTTTAAAAAAAGAAAACTATATCCTTGGTGTCCAGACCACAACTTATTTTGTAGTTCACCAGATGAATTAAATGTGTCCTGTCTTCTAGGAAACCCTAGGATAAACATGATTTATGCTCTCTTTATACCCTCCACACATTAACTGCAAAACTCTTATTTTAGAAACATCATGGCAACTGTGTATACAGGACAAGGTATGACTTACATAGTAACATTGATGGTAGCTAGGAAATAAATTTAATTTTATTTTTACGATGATCAGTTTGCTGTTTTAGGCCTTCAACTTTGAAGGACACATGACCTTAACAATAAAAGTGAATTAGGAAAAACAATGAGAAAATAACAAGTGTTTTAATCAAAGTCTTTTGCATGATAGATTTAGATACAAAAAGAATTTCTTCAAATAATTTCATTCTGTCTGTATCATAATATTCTGGAGTCCTTTCATTCTGTCTGTATCATAATATTCTGGAGTCCTTTGAATAAATTATAGAGTAATTTAAAATATATATTATGCATTTGCAATCATTATTAGTCATTCAATAGTTTGTAGCATGTTAATGGAGTGAAATCAAGATAAAAGGCAGTCCACATTCATATTTTCATGATAAATTTGCTTCAGAAGTCAACTGAACTCCTTACTCATGTTCTAAGAATAGCCATTGTGATAAGACCTAAAAGGAAAAAATTAGAAAATGGTCAAACATGTGTTTTCCAAAACCTTCCATTCAATAGGCAATTGTTTAGCCCTCAATGAGCAAATAAATATAGAGCATAGTCAGATACTCTAACTAGAATTCAAAGTCAATTTAAATTTAGTTGATATTATATAAAAGAAATCCAATTTACAGCAATGGACAGTCACTGGGTAGATTTAATTAAATCACTCACGTCTGGCCACAGCTAATTTTTTACCCATCAAATATACCTCCCACTTGAACCAGTCACATCAGCTATAATAATAGCAGACATGCCATTTGAAAGTGTCAGTAAAGCCAGCTGACTTCATCAAGAAAAACATGGCAAGCCTATCTGGGCCCTAGGGCCACAGAGAGACAGAAACACAGTATTCCTGCTGGGCTTGTCTCTTCTGTACTCCATTTTTATGCATAAAACCATGAAAATATAATAATGTAATATTAGGCCCGACCCTAAATGAGTAGTTAAAAAAATAAAGTGAGTGATCAAGTCCACATAAGAATAATCATGTAGGACAAGGGCAGTCAGAAAAGATGTCCCAAAAGGTAAAGAATAAGCCCAAAAGACACACAAGAACACTGAACAATGAGATGAGATGGGTGGGCATCTTAGGAGAGAGAGGGCATGCTAAGGGCATGGACATGAAGGGAGGAGAAGGACCCCAAGTGAGCTTTTGGGGGCTCAGTAAATAATGTAAGCAGCTCTAATAAAGACTTTACGTAGGAAAGCAGCTAGACAACATTAGCTCACAGGTTTCAGAGTATGGAGGGTCTCAGACATCAAACTACAGAGCTAAATTCCATTCTATGGACTATGGAGAGCCCATGGAAGGTTTGTGCATAGAAAGCAGTGATGGCCAAACCAAAACAGAGTGGGAATCCATCTGACAACCACGTGTTGGACGATTTTAAGGGGAAAAGAGTGACAGAAGGTATAGGAAGAGAAGGTACACAGAAGATAAGGAAACAATTTAGAAGACAATTTTGAAATTTAAAAAAAAAAGTGCAAGCCAAGAGTCAGAATAATGACGAGAGCTGGCATCTCAGAAGAGATAAAAGGAGGCTTTGAGGAAAGTCTGTTGTGGCCAGATCTTTAACCCTTGACACATGGTAGGTACTGAATAAATGTTTGTTCTGCTGAACTAATTGCCTCTAAGGTTGCAAGCAGGATGAATGCAAGAATGACTGAACAGGAAACAAGGGGACAGGTTTAAAGAGAACAGTTCACAATCTGAAAAAAGACGGCCTTGTTCAACCTTCTAAGGGTAAGCACATCATCCGAATGTTTCCCTAAGCACAGCCGTCCAGGTAGAAATGCTGCACCGTGGCCATATATGTTTTACCATGTCTACCATGGCCAATCGGCAAAGGGACTACAATGCAGTTCATACAGTGTTAGGTGATAGATCAATAAGCTGTAAAGAACTGTCTGATCCAAAAACGAGATCTTAAAATGCACCTTACCCCAAACATGCCTTTGAAGCAAACTTATGTTTTCTAAAAAATAAAAATAAACTACTACCCCCATACACACATAAGACAGCCACTACCACCTCCAAGGCATAAAAATTACTTACACACATGCCCCAAATGCACCTGGAAAAGGCTTACCTAGGATATAAGCAGCCACTAACTTCTGATTCACACTTAAGTGGAGGTAGAGAGGCACCAGCGATTCCACGTCCCCCAGCGTAGGAAGCATCAGTGCTGCAATGCATACCACTCCCAGGAAGACCGTTAGTAAACTGGGCCCTGAGGAGACAGCTCTGTTTTCTGTAAAAAGACCAAAGTCCCCAAGTTGGCTTCTAATAACAATTTGAGACAAATAATACTGAGCATCGACCAGGATTCTGGTTTTGTCTGACTTCTGTCTTTCCCCAACATTTCCAGTCCATGGAGACTTATCTACTGGATTTATCTGAAAGCCCATGACATCACTCTCTTAGTCAAGACAGGATAGAACATTGAAAAGGCTTTCTGTGGTGTCCAGTTGCTACTTAAAAGAACAGTAGTAGCTTGCCCTCTTCCCCTACCCTGGAACCAGTAGAAAGTGCTTGAGCAGGGCCCTACCTGGTGGCAAATTGGGTTAAAGCACAGCAGAATGAGGCTATCCTCAGCCACTGCAGCATGAGTTCCATCCCCGGCCAGGGAGGGAGCTGACCCACATGGCGTGGCAGACCTCTCCTGTCTCACCCGCGGCTCCCCTCAGCAGTATATTTTAGCATATCTCCTGTTCTGCTCCCCACTCTGTCTTGGGTGAATCCTGTCGCCCCTGCACTGCTGGCCTGTACCCCAGTTCTTGTGCATATAAATAAATAAATAAAACTCCTTTTTTAAAAAAGTGCTCAAACATATATCATCTGTGTGTATGTATATAGATTGTATGTGCTAGTGCTGTAGTAGTACACTTAACGGAAAACATACAACAGACTTTCTAAAGAATGGGTTCATGTGACAGAAATGCTCCTTTATTCCTGCACCCCAGTGCATGGTACAGGAGCTCCCTACCTTCTGGGAGTGTCTCAGGCAGGTCTTCATACAGGTCGGTTCTGAATAATGACAGAATCCTGCTACCATTTTTGAAAATGGCAAGCCACCCAGAAGCCTCTGTTTGAATGTTATAGAGGTGCCTATGGAAACCTGCCCTCTATACTACCCCAATTTATAGCAAAGGAGCAGAAGAAACAATGCCCAGGAAATACTATCCTCTGTGCAATAAACTAATCACAGGAGAATGCCTGAAACCATTTATATGAGGTGTCTGAAATAGTCAAACTCATAGAATTGGGGAGAATGGTGGTTGCCACGGATTGCTCACCAATGATTTGCATAAATTCTCATCACTGCAAGATGAATAAGTTCTAGAAATCTGCTGTACAATTCTCTACCATAAACACCACTGTATTGCACACTGGAATTTCGTGAAGAGGGTAGAGATCATCTAAAATGCTCTTACCACAGCAAAACAAAATTTAAACATCTACTGTCAGGTCTGCTGGTCTATGGTTCTGCAGTTCTGGCTGTATTTGTACAATACACATACCGAGATTTCTAAGAAGCCCAGCAATAGCATTTTCTGATATATGGCTTTCCCTACTACCCTTCCTTTCATTAAAAGGAATAGCCAACAGCAACACAATCTTTGTGTTTTATTAATGAAATAACACTGTTCATTTTATTATTAAATGCAGCTTTTCTAAATTATTAATACCTTTGCTGTTGTGTGAAGTTTAATTGAGTCTCCCAAAGCCAAATAGGTGAAAACAAATTCAAACTTTATAATCATTGCTTGAGCTAGAACAGCAGCATAAATACCTTACAAGTCTTACTTTAGTTAACAAATTAAGTCTCTTTATATTTGTTGCAAAATTAAGGTTTCAAGTAAAACATAACAACTACACTACTCATTGCAAACCCACAATAAGATAATTTCAAGGAATTTTTAGTATTTAAGAATTCTAAAACATTTGCATAAATGTTTGAAATTTTTCAAAATGGAAATAACTTCTTTTCCCCATATTACAGGGTTGTTATAAAACTTTTATAGAGATATAAAAAAACAAAATGCCTATATACTTCCATTTCCTAGAGATAACACTGTTAGCAGCTTGGTATAGATCCTTTCAAATTATATAAATGCCCATCATCTCAGCAGGTAAAATTTTTTCTAGAAATGAGGCCATATTATACATGTTGCTCTACAACTTTTTTCCTCTCATTTGGAAATACATTTGAACCTCTTTCTATGTCAATATATACTATCAATCATTCTATCAGATCCTTCCAAATGCCTGCCTGACTTCCATCTGATAAATACTCATAATTTAATCAATCCCCAATTGAAGGGCTTTTAAGTCATTTTCAATTTTTTATTATAAACAATAATAAAGAACGTAATTTTCTTAAGCCAGAGGGCACTTACTCAAACGCTGCATAGATATAGCAGTTCATTAGTAATTGTTGGGGACCGAGGCCGGCATCTGGAGTCTGTCAGCAGCCATAAAAAGGTGAAATGGAGTCCGGATAGAGAAAAACATCCGGGTTGCAAAAGGCATGTGGGAAGAACCCCCTTGCCCCCACCTTTTCCTTTTCCTCTTTCTTTTCTCACCCATTTTCGTCCCTCGCGAGAACCATGTTATCAAACACTGCTACATGTCTAGTGTCCATTGGCCTTCTCCCTTCCTGGCATCCCTCTCCTCCTGTATAAAGCTGAGATAAAACCCAATAAAGAGCTCTTTCTTTGTTCTGCTACACGCGTGTGACTGCTTCCTTTGTTTGCCGGACCTGGGGCCCCGACTCTCCGGCCTTGCTGGTCAAGGTCCCCCGCAAAGTGGCGCCCAACGTGGGGCCTCCAGGCTCACCGGCGGTTTTCTTTCTCTCACCGGTTATCGGTTTCCTTCTCTTTTTCTGACCGATAATCCCCCAGGCCCAAGGCCCCATAAGGTTTTACCAGTTTTCTTTATCGGCTGTTAGCTCTCTTGTCTAACAGTCCCCCGGGCTCATGCCCCCCGTTTTATGAAGATTTTTGAAGGTGTTTTACGTCTGCAGACCCCACTCTTGCCGCCCGATCAGCGGAATTGACCTCTCCTACAGGTAAGTCCCCCTTCTCGGAAGCTTCCAACTCACTGAGGACTATAACGGGGACTCTGGCCGTGATTGTCCGGCAGACCTCCGATGTCCCAGTGAGAGGGGTACGCACCCCACCATGGCCTTTACGGCTACGGTGGACCCCTGTATCTTCCTCCCCCTGGATCCTTAAACTGTTATAGCTTCTATTTTGCTGCCACTTTAGTTTTATGGTTGTTGTAGCACCAACACGGCATTAAAAACATGGGACAGGAGCTTAGTCAGCATGAATTGTACATCTCCCAGTTAAAAGCCACTCTTCAATCTAGAGGCATTAATGTTAAAACCAAAGATCTCCTCAGTTTTTTCGATTTTATAAAAGAAACTTGTCCTTGGTTCCCCCTCGAAGGCACCATAGATTATAAACGTTGGTTACAAGTGGGGGATGCCCTCAATGATTACTTCAGAACATTCGGCCCCGGCCCTCCAAACCCTGCCCCCGTTGCAGAAAGGGATATTATTGGGCTAGAGACTGTCGTTCCACCACCAATGTGGAAGGAAAGCCCTTGCCTCCCCGCTTATCAGACCCAAACGTAAGCCACTCCTCCACCCCTCAGCCGGGAAACGCCAGGAGGGGTCAGCTCCCGGCCCCGAATCTAACAATGGGAGCATTCACCGTGGGGCGGCCTCAGACAGTGCCCCCCACCCATCCTTTTCAGACCTCACAAGGGCCACCCCAGGCAGCGCAGGACTGGACCTCTGTCCCTCCTCCGACACAATACTAACGCCTGAAATGGGCTATCAGCAACTCAAAATGGGAGTTTTTGGGCCCCTTTCCCCCAACACCTTTGGTTTAATTCTAGGCAGGGGGAGTATGGTTCAAAGAGGTTTAAAGGTCCTTCCAGGTGTAACTGACAACGACTACACTGGAGAAATTTCAATCCTGGTAAAGACAAAAAGCTTTGTTAAAATAGCAAAAGGCCAAAAAATAGCTCAATTAATCCCAGTTCCCATGATCAGGACTAGTCACCACCTTATCTCCCCTGAGAGAGGCAATGATAATTTTGGCTCCCTGA